AAGAAAACCCACATCTGGGCGCCCGGATGGCTCAGTCAGTTAAGCGTCTGCCTTCAGCTCAGGTCATGATCCTAGGGTCCTGGGATCGAGTCCTGCATCAGGCTGCCTGCTCAACAGGGAGTCTGCTCCTTCCTCTCCCTCTGCCCCTCCCCCAGCTGGTGCTCTCTCTCAAATAAATTTTAAAAAATCTTAAAAAAAAGAAAAGAAAACCCATATTTACTGTTTGAAGAAAGATAAAGAAGAGATTAAGGGAGCAGAACTTTTCATCTGGAACAATAGTTCTCAAAGTGTGGTCCCTGGACCAGCAGCAGCAGTATCACTTGGGAACCTAGAAATGTAGAATGATAGGCCCCAGCCTACACCTCCTGAATCAGAAACTCTGAAAGTAGGGCCCAGCAATCTGTTTTAACAAGCCCTCCAGGTGATTCTGCTGACCCTGAATCATGAGGTCTGCAGAGCCAAGAAGCAACATGGCAGCAAAGGAAGAGCACTGGCTCAGGAGAAGATTCCAGGCTTAACTCTGGCACAAGACCTTACACCGGTCTCCTAACTTCTCAGACCTTCAGCCTCCTTCGAAGCAATACAGGACAACAGTAACACTCAGATAATTAAATACTGTGAGTATTACATGAGATCCCACATATAGAAGTTGCCTACAGTAGGTGCTTAATAATTTTAAGCTGCTTTCAATTGTCTTCCTGTGTATCGCACGGGACTGCAAACACAAAATGACCGAGGTGAAAGGGCTTGGCGAATTGCCAAGTGCAATAGCAATCTGAGGGAGAACTAATTATTCTTGGAACAAATAGCCAGGCTGTGGAACACCTAGCATTCCCAGGACACTAGGAAGCAGTTTCTGTCCAACTCCCACCAAGCTACAAGCACAAACTCTGCAACAGAGTATCTGCTTCTTACCCGCCTGTGAAAGCTGAACCATGAAGAGAGTAATAGAGGATCCTCCCTGCAGGCACCTCACCCCTTGCACAGTATTCCCATCAGAATTAAGGAACTAGTCACTAATCTTTTTCATTTAAGTGAATCCAAACTTTACTCTTGGAAAAAGGATAATGTGAAACCGTGTTCCAGCCAATACAAGGAACTGTCACCACTTGCAGAGCACCATGGACCGGACTTGGGGAAACCCTAGTATGTGATACCCAACCCCCAGTGGTCATGGAGGGTTTAGATTAAGGCAGTAACCTTTTGAAATTTATTTCAGAAGAGAAAATCCAGAAATAAAAGGCCGTACTTTTTCTTCCTCCACACTTCTTAGCCTCTCATACTACTGCTCATTCTGCTCTAAATCATGCATTCTACTTGGGAACCACCTTCCAGAAGGACAATGAGGATGGCTACAAGAATACACAGGTAACTATGTCACACTGTGGGCTTAGCTGCACCTTCAACCTAATAGCACCAGGTTAGAATGTCCGTGTGAGGCCCCAAGCATGAGAGAAAGTAATAATTACCCTTCCCCTTTCCAACCTGAGCCCAGTAGAACGGTTCCCACAAAGCAGGTGAGAAGAAGGGCCATTCTGCCATGAACGAGGCATTGACCGAAGAAAACGCCGTCGACCTTCACAAGCACATCCGCGCAGTGGGTTTCAAGTAGCCTGCCCTCGGACACTCAAAGAGATCCAGAAATTTGCCAGGAGGGAGGTGAGAACTCCAGATGTGCACAGTGACACCAGGCTCAACAAACCTGTCTGGGCCAAAGGAATAAGGAAAGTCCCATACCGTGTGTGCGGCTGTCCAGAAAAACATAACGAAGATGAAGATTCACCAAATAAGCTCTGTATATTCGTTACTTATGTACCTGTCATCCCTTTCAAAAATCTACAGTTAATGCAGATGAGAACCAACCAGACTGTCAGATAAAGATATAAAACCACAACAAAATGGTAATAGTAATAATGACCAAGCCCTGAGACTACCAGCCTAACGCTTTGCAGCTCTAGCACACCTTTGGTGAACATGTTACCTCTACTGAAGCCTCCCTGAGAGCAGCTTTGAAACATTTGTATCCCAGAGCCTGGCACCCACGGGCACTCAGAAGGCCGACTGAACTGGGCTGGTGGGCTTGTTTCAGTGCAAGCCCTAAGCAGCCGTTGAGACGTATTATTTTATGAGCGGGTAAAATGAGGGCCAGAGAAGCTAAAAGTTGGAGTCAGCTAAGCAATGTCATCTTTGACATCACCCCCCGCCCCCAAGAACAGGGCTTTATCCTGGGCCCAAACCCAGCTTGCCACTGTCCCCACCGCCACCTCTGTTCTACTCAGACTGGTGAACACAGATGTGCCCACACCCCCCTCCCTGCCTCATGTACCTGTCCCCAGGCACAGGGTGTCCTCCTCTCTGCCTGTGGAATTCCCAGCCACCCTCGTGAGCAGCCCTCAGACTCCAGAAGCCAGTCCTATCTCCCCAGCTCTCCTGAATTCTTCTGGACTCCTAAGAGCACTGACAAGCCCCCCTACTCAACTGAGCACTCAACTAGGCAGTGGCCTTCTATTAGTGATCGTTACTCCAAGCATCTCTGCTCTCTCTCTCTCTCTCGACACCAGAAATCCCTTGAGGACCAGGACAGCTATGAAATCTCAGCTCTCCCTCTTCCCAGCTGAGCAGTGGCTTCACTCCTCTGAGCCTCAGTTTCCCCATCTCTAAAGTGGGAAGGACAACAAAACTTAACTCCACAGAGCAGCTGGATGAAGCAAGTAATAGCTGTAGATCTGCTCTGTGTAAGCTGGAGCTGCTGCTTTTACTCATCAGCTTTGTTTTATTTCCGTCTCCCTTCTCTCCCGTGAATCGCCTGGCAATACTTTTAAAAGAATACTAATAATACTAAATGCCATGAAAATCACTTTTACACTTCATCACAACGGTACGGAATATACATTAGAACCTCCTTCCATCCTCTAATTTATCTGAACCGTGAAATAAGCTGGGCCTTGCCTGATGACCAACTGGCAATCAGGAGGCTTCATTCTCTTCATGGGTCAAGTGTCTTGTTCTAAGGGCTGGCACTGCTGGGGCCTGTTCCTTCATAGGTCACAGACGGGCCAGTTGCCCCCCATATCCTCTCCCTAACTTAACTATTCTGTTGTTAACAGTGACAGCTACAATTTATTGAGCCTCTACTATGTCCCCGGCAACTGTCATCTCACTTAAACTGTACTACTCTGAGTATGAATCTCTTTCTCTCTCTCTCAGCAAACTAAGGTTCAGAAGGGTCACACAATTTTCTAGGGTCACGCAGCAAAAAATGGGTAAGGCAAAACTCAACTCAGGCCTTCCTGACAAGCATCATGCTCTTTCCACTCATATGTACCCCCACATCCCTAATATTTGTATATTTTTAAATGTCCTTTAACTTCTACCCCTCACCAGCTACCCCGGCATTTCCAAGGTGTGGCGCTTCCTATTGTAAAGGAGACAGAAAAGAAAACAAATCCCCTCAAGTTTACCAGCTCCCTCCAATAACTGGTTGGGATTCAATACCCAACTGAGAAATGAGGTTTTGGAAAAGAAAGAGCACCTGAGGAAAGGAAAGGAGGAAGAAAATCTACATAAACACGGTAGTCTGTAAAGGCGGGAAGAGACTCACACCCCGGGCCCAGTGTCCATCATCCCTTATCAAAGACCTTACACCACAAAGAAAAGCAAGGCTCCCAAATGGCAGTTAGCTAACAGAAGAGGCCTCAATAACTTCCCAGACCCCACTAACGGCTGCAAAGTAAGCTAGAAAGTAGTAAGTAAATCAGGAAATAAACAAATCACTACAGCCTAAACCAGCCAGGCCCAGAAGGACACCAAAGGTCCCCACTCAAAAGACGTTTTACCAGTCCTTCCACCAACCAGGAGGAACCCAGTTTTAAAAGAAACCAATCAACATTCTCCGCTAATCAGTTGGCAAAAGTTCCTGTCTTGGGTGAAAAGGCAAGTTGTTTTTTTAGTAAAGAAACCCCATACAGTGGGGTCATTCTGGTGTTCATTCACATAGCCTTGGGTTTTTCCTTACCCAGGATACCAGTCATCTCTGGTGCCCTTTTCCAGGTGCCCAGAGCCCCCATGTAGGATTAACAGGTACTAAGGAGTACCCCTCTCTCTACGCTGTCACCAAAAGACTTCAGCTTTGGGCAAATTTAGTACAGCAGGGAAGCAATAGTCAATATGCAGAGACTAAGGAATATCAAAACTTCAGAACTTGAAGAGACCTAGCGCATCTCACCTCCAAACACCTCATTCGACAGACAGGGAAAACGTCAAACCAGAAAGAGCAGTGACTTGCACAAGGTCATTATAGGAAGAGTCACTGGCAAAGCCCCTCCTGGAGCCCAGGCTTCCTGATTCCCAGTCCAGAGCTCTTATCATTAAATAACACGGCCTCCCTTCTTTCCCAGAGGCAGTGCAGGGATATCACCCCCCTGGCAAGATAATCACCCTCTGGGAACCGTTCCCCCCATCCCAGTCCCTCCCACAGCCTAGCTGAGTTGCAGCTCTAATTAGCAAGTCTCAGAGCAGGGAGTATTCTCTGGGAGGGTGCCCGGTCTGAGGGCTGCTGGTACTGAAAAGAGGGACAAGCATGGAGGAAGACGGGTGTGGGAGAACTAGGTCCTGGCGGCAGTGGCAGCGAGACCGTCGGCCTGGATGAGGGCGCACTCGGTGGCATCTCCCACCAGGCGAGGTGGGAGGTGCAAGGTGGGAGGAGGCAAGCCGACCCCAGCAGCCCGCACCACCTCCACGAGCCGGGAGGGGCTGGGCCCGGATCGGGAGGGACGCGCGGAGCATCTCCGAGTCCAAGCTGGGCCTCGGGGAGCCGCCTGGCAGTGTGGCACCGGCGCCGTGAGCAGGCCCAGGCAGCCCGTGGGCAGACACCCGACGGCAAGGATGCCCGGGCGGCCCGTGGGGTGGCACCGGTGCCCGGCGAAGGCCCGCGGTCCTCACCAGCCCCGTCAGTCGCCACTGTCGCCCACCCAGATGGCCCACCCTTCGCGCGGCCTTACCGAGGCACTGCCCCACCGGGGTGCTGAACGGGTTCCCCAGGAGGAACTCCATCTTGAGCGGACAACACGGCAGCGTCCCGGGCCCCCCGTCAGCCGCCCGGGGCCCCGCTGTCCCCCGTCGCACTCCGGACCTGACTGACACTTGCCCCCGCCCCACCCTCCCGCACGCAGAACGCCCGGCCCCTGACCCCACCCCTTGTCGCGTCCCTATTGGGCAGAGTCTGCCTAGCCCTTCTCCGATTGGCCCCTACGCCTCCCTCACGAAGCCACGCCTACCCCGCGGCGCCCCATTGGGCGGAGCTGCGGGCTAGGTCACAGGAATCTCCGTCAGGCGTAGCGGCACCTTCCCTGGCCCGCCTCCGAACGAGACTCTGTGTGTTTTGATTCAGCTATATTTTGGTCAATCTAGCGAATCCTACTATTATTGGGCAAGAGGCAAGTCAATCACTCAAGTTGGGGGGCCGGGGAAGAGGCGTGGCTACTAATATCCCTGCCCATAGAAAGTGCTGATTGGAGAAACGTTTGTTTTTTCTACTGCTGGTTGGTGGTAGGAGTATTTCCCCACCCAAGAAATGCTATCACGTGACCGTCAACTTTCACCCAGGGTGTCTCTACCACGCGACTTCCCCTTAGCAACCGACTGGCCGCGCTTGGTTCCCTTAGTAACCGGACGAAGCGTCCTCTGCGTGGAAGCGGTCGGGCGGTGGGCGCTTGAGAGGGTGAGACCTTGGAGCGGAGACCGCGGGAGGACTCGCAGGGGCAGACAGATCATCGACTTAACGCTTTTCTCTGACCTTTTTTCCTGGGAGTCGGCCCGGCCTTCCTCACCTGTAAAACGAGCACACAGGTTCTCGGCCAGCCACTTCACGGCCGCGCTGAGACCCTGGGCTTTCAGGCCTGTGGATGAGAAAGAAATGCTAAGGACGCATTTCCTCGGGGAGCAGATCCCGAAGGGATTTTTGTTTTTAGGGGCTCCATCCGCCGACCTCCTGGCCTGATTCCTTTTATCGAAACAAAGGTACCCGGTCCACTGATAAGTTCTTCGAGTATTTAACCCTCATATCCATCCTCTTAAACTGTCATAAAATTGTTTCTGTTCTTTATTTGTATTCTTCACCTGGTGCTGTATAGAGTTCCATTCCTCTCTCTCCTCGGTAGCTCACTGTACGACTTTGGACAATTTCCTTCCCCTCCCGGGCCTCAGTTTCCCTCTCTGGGAAATGAGGGAATTAGGACTCCTTTCTCCGGTGGCTTCCAGAGCCGACATGCAATTAAGTAATGAAGGTGCACTTAGTACCCAGTAAGCACTCAGTTAATAGGTGATTTTCTCTTAGTAATCCATGGCCAGTAGGGGCTGTGTTTTTCAGATTCAATTGATCGCAAGTTTTTGCTTCACAGGACAATTCTGGTCTTGTTTCTCCGTGAGGAGGCTGCACCATCGGCAGTGGTGTAGAACTCTCTGCTGCTTTCCCTGTCTCCTACCTCTGGTCTTCACCACCAATACTGTTATCAGGCAAGTCAACAGGAACCCAGGTTGGGTGGTAAATTATTGATAAAAGCCCCTTTAGGGGAAGAGTGGTCGAGCCTTGGCCCTGACCCAGAACAGCTGTGAAAAACATTGTGCGTTGTGACGATGAAAATCCACAGTGCCCTGGGTACGGTTGAGTCATGATTAAGAGAATGGGCTCTGGAGTCATGGTCCCCTGCCTCTGCCATATGCCATATAGATGTATTAACTTAGGCATCTTACTTAACCTTTCTAACTAGCTTCCGGGTTGGTTGGTTGGTTGGTTGGTTTTATTTTTTTTTTTTTCTTTTTTTTTTAAAGATTATTTATTTATTTATTTGACAGAGAGAGACACAGCGAAAGAGGGAACACAAGCAGAGGGAGTGGGAGAGGGAGAAGCAGGCTTCCTGCAGAGCAGGGAGCCCGATGCGGGACTCGATCCCAGGACCCTGGGATCATGACCTGAGCCGAAGGCAGACGCTTAACGACTGAGCCACTCAGGCGCCCGGTTGGTTGGTTTTAATCTGGAAACTGCAGATGATTAGTCCTACATATAAGTCAAGTTCCTGGAGATCTCTCACAGCCACATCTTACTGCCACCCTGCTCATGACTCTTGCTGATCTCAGTATGACAGCCAGAGTGAGCCTCTTAAAAGTAAAAGCTGATCATGTCACTGCTCTTATTTAGCCCCAGGAGCTTCCCAGGGATCCTAGAATAATAAAGTCCCGTAGGCCCCTCCAACCTTGCTTCACTTCAGCCCGAATGGAATATGGCTTGTTCTCTCCTACCTCCAGGCCCTCGCTGTGCAGTTCCCTCTTCCTTCTTTCCTACTCATCCTTCAGATCCCAGCCCTGTCTCCCCTGGCCAGGCCAGGTGCCCCTAATGTATGCTGTCCTCGTTCCCTACATCTACAAACTTGTCATGGTCTGTCATTAAATATTTGTATGATGATCTGATTCACGTCTGAAACCGAGGGAAGGAGATCTGTTTTATTCACGGCATGTAGTAGCTATTCATGACACGTGTGTGGGCTGAATAAATGATCTTAAACAAATGTAGGAGGGAGGACTTAATCCATTTTTACAGACGAGAAATTAAAGGCTTAGACAGGTGAGGTTAGTTGCCAAAGGATGCACACCCAGGTTCTAAATCCTGCCCTCGTGTGCTTAACAAAGAGCTTGCCTCACAACCACTCCACACTGAGTAGTGATTGTGGGCTTGACAGAAAGCAAGCCTGATCTGTCCCAGGTGCCAGGCCTAGATGAAGTGGGAGTGATGAGAAGTCAGTTACAGTTTTGAAATCAGAATTAAGAAGCATTTCCCAAAGTACAGCACTTTTCTTTGAGAAAGCACAAACACTTTTGCAGGTAACATCTGCCAAACACTGCACATTAAAATTTCCCCAAAGGCAAGTTGGTGTCAGGGTATGGGAAATCTTAGGAAAAAATGTTTCGAAAGAGCGGGGAGATGGGAAGAGGGGGAGGACTGGAAACGTCTTTGGGAGTTGACTCATTCACTCTAAGGAGTCAGAGCCAGTGCTGAGACACTGGAGAGAGTGGGAAGGCGGAAGGAGCAGGTGGAGAAGCGGCAAGGTGGAGGTGGCACTTGGGAGTGGGAGTGGGGCTAGGGGAGGCTTTGGCTCCTCAGGGGCAGAAGGAGAGGACACACGACAATTAGACGCACAGGGACATTTGATCACGGACAGCCCAGAAACGGCAGATGCATATTTATATAAGCTGCATCCAAGTGGATGGTGGGGGCGGGCGGAGGAGGGCAGTGGCAGCTTCTAAGACCAGGTGGCAGGATTGCTGGGCCCACCCCAGTCTGCAGTGGACGTCATCACCCCAACACCGGGAGTCTCTCCAGCAGCACACAGTGGAATAATACAGGGACTGCCCAGCATCAGGGAAGAGGCCTGGGCGTCGGGGACCAAGAGGGCAAAGGTAGATGGTGAAGCCAGCAGGGAGGAGAGAAACAGGGGTGGGAAGTAGAAGGGAGGACTGAGTTTCCAGAGGGTTCAGGAGGCAGAATCTGGGAGCTTCCCATAGAGTGTGCCTTCCCAGAAGGGTCCAACCCTTCTGGATGTTCTTACTCTTAGGCTGGTAAGGATGAGAATGAGGTCACGGTGCCTAGGCTTCCGGGGCTGTGGCTCTGTCCAGCCAGGAACAGCATCCTGAGGTCAGCCGTTTGCCTGCAGAGTCTCCGCCAGATCCTTTGGCCTGTTAGCAGCAGAAACCTACTGGACTCAGTTTAAGTAAAATCAGATTTAATGTGAGAAGTCAGGAAACTCTCACAGGGCGTGGAATTAGGGTCATTAGGGGCAGGAAAGTCAGCAAAGACTGTGTCAATCTGTCGGCCCTTTTGTCTTATTTTCTGCCTCACCTCGGTTCCCATTTCTGTTTCTCTCTGTCCATCTGCCTCATCTTCCCCTTGTCCTCTCTGCTTAACCGCATGTCTGGCTAGCCGGTGACCCCCCAGCTCCCCCCCGGCTCACACAGCCGGCTCTGATGGGACTTTCATCCTGCTGCCCCAAGTTCGCATTTCTCAGGGGGAGAACAGGAATGGCCAGCTTGGGTCAGTGTCCGCCAATCTCCACGCCCTGAGCAGCTTGTGGGGAGCTGCGGGGAGTCTCTCAGAGAAAGAGAGCTTCAGGCTGCCCTGCCTGGCAGGGGCTGCCAAGGATCCTGGTGGTGGCAAGACACCGAATGAGGCTGGCTGAGGAAAGCCAGAGGCCGAAGACGGCCACGGCCATAAGGGGAGCTGAGCTCCAAAGAGACCAGCATGGTGCCAGTCTTCTGGGTGGTGGGGTAGGGTCACAGCCGTGGTTGTGGGACCGAGGGGTGCACCCCTGCAGGTGGGCGCCAGGCAGGACGGGGGCAGATGGTTGCTGGAAAAGGCCTGGAGCAGCCTTGGTGCAGAAGTACTCGCCCTTAGGTGCAGCGGGCCAGGGAGTGTGAGGAGGCGGCCCCAGAGCATCCATGACTGTCACCATGCTCCACAATGCCTTAAAGAGACCCCAGCCAGATCCTGTGCTCAGACAAAGGGAGAAGCAGACGGTGGAAGAGGAATGTGGTGTCTTTTAGGGAAAATGCAGAGGCTGTATGACTCCGTGGAGCCGAGAGTGATGGACGAGGACATGCTCAAGCTGGCTGTGGGGGAACAAGGCCCGCAGGAGGAGGCTGGGCAGCTGGCCAGGCAGGAGGGCATCCTCTTCAAGGATGTCCTGTCGCTGCGGCTGGACTTCCAAAGTGCGTATCCTGGGCTGGGTTGGGGGCACCAGGCAGCCCAGCATCCCACGCCGGGCTTCTCTGCCCCAGAATTCCACACACAGTCCGTGATCACAGGACCCCCATGGGCATTCGGGCCTGCCTGGGGGAGAGGCGTAGGGGTGACACAGAGTGTTTTAAGGCTTAATACGGCGTGTCATTAGCAGTTGCATATCCACAGCACCCCTGATTCTGAATAATAGGACAAGAGATCAAATTCCCCCACTCTAAATCTAAGTGAACCCAAAGGCCACGCTGCTTCCGTCAGACTCCACTGGATTCTTTGGAGCAGGGTCCCCGGCAGGTGGAACCCAGGAGGGTGGCTCCACGTAGCCAGGGAGGAGCCATGGGGAGAGGGGGGCTGTGTGCTGGGGCAGGAGAC